CTTTCCAATTTTATTTTTTTTTCATCTGGTGGGCGTAGCTGAGTTCTTCGCAAAAGGATACACGACAAGCCGATGATCGATTCCACCGGGAAAACTCCGACAACCGTCAACAAGCACTTCATCGGAGGAGACGGTGGTGGTCCGACGGAGGCTCTGGAGATGATGCAGGAACCGAGCGTAGACACCGACAAGCTCAGCTACGAGATTTTCTCGATCCTCGAGAGCAAGTTCCTGTTCGGGTACGACGACACAAAGCTCATCGACCCGAAAACCGATCCAGAACCCACGACTCCGGCGGCGGCGGCGGCGAATGGTGGCGGAGGAGTTCCGGGCTCGATCAAGAACCAGAGACGGAAAGTCTGTATTTTGAGCATCGATGGAGGAGGGATGAGAGGGATTTTGCCGGGCAAGGCCTTGGCGTATCTAGAACACGCCCTGAAATCGAAATCCGGCAACCCAAATGCTCGGATCGCCGATTACTTCGACGTAGCCGCCGGCTCCGGAATCGGAGGTATCTTCACGGCGATGCTCTTCGCCTCGAGCGACGGCAACCTTCCGATCTTCCGGGCGGAGGACACGTGGCGGTTCCTGGCTCAGAACGGCAGAAACTTCTACAAACCGAAACGGTCCTCCGGGCTCCTGAGGCGGGTCGTAAGAACCGGGTCCGGGTCTGGGTCGGGCACGGCGAAGTTGGAGAAGGCGATGAAGGAGGCATTTTCGGACCTAACACTGAAAGACACACTCAAACCTGTCTTAATCCCATGTTACGACCTCTCGAGCTCTGCGCCATTCTTGTTCTCACGAGCAGACGCCCTCGATTCGGACAGCTTCGACTTCAGGTTGTGGGAAGTTTGTCGGGCCACGTGGGCTGAGCCAGGGGCGTTCGAGGCCGTGGACATGGCGTCCGTGGACGGCTCGACGAGGTGTGTGGCAGTGGACGGAGGCTTAGCAATGAGTAACCCGACCGCGGCAGCGATCACGCACGTGCTCCACAACAAGCAGGAGTTCCCGTTCGTGAGGGGCGTGGAGGATTTGCTCGTCCTGTCTCTCGGGACAGGTCAGCCTTTGGATGTGAGCTACGATTTCGAGCGTGTGAGGAAGTGGAGGGCGAAGCATTGGGCTCGCTCTGTGGCTCGTATCTCGGCAGATGGCTCGGCCGAGACCGTGGACCAGGCCGTGGCCATGGCGTTTGGACAGCGTAGGAGTAGTAACTATGTCCGGATTCAGGTAAAGTCCTGTGGTCTGAAACGGGAGAGACTTTTGGTTCTGATTTTCCCGTTAGTGTACAGCTAATCAAGGACTGCATTTACAGATTTAGTCTCTTGAATGGTAAAATGGTTCTAGACATTGGCTCTAAGCTTTTACAAGACATGATTCAAGAGTTTGGACAACCAATATATATCCGGTTTGGTCTGAAAGTGGAAATCTTTAGTTAGCTGCCCCATGTTCGGAACCAAAAGAAAGAACTTTGGTTTTGTATATAATGTGGTCATTCTTTCCGGGGGTTTTGGCAGGCGAATGGGACGAGCTTTGGACCGTGCAGACCAGACGTAGACACGGACCCGAGCCCGAGCAACGTGAACATGCTGGTGGGAGTAGCGGAGGAGATGCTGAAGCAAAAGAACGTGGAATCGGTACTCTTTGGTGGCAAAAGAGTCGAAAAAGAGAGGAACTTCGAGAAACTGGACTGGTTAGCCGGGGAACTCGTCCTCGAGCACCAGAGGAGAAGTTGCAGAAGGGCTCCGACCGTCGAGTCCAAGCCATCGACCCACCAAACCAAACAGAAGGTCGACATTGTGGGCGGAACCGCAAGGGAACGATGATTAACCAAAAGGGGTTTAATGAATATATAAGATTTGGAAAGAATGTATAGTTTTTTTTATTCAGACATCGTCGTAGAAAGGGTTTCATAGAAGAAGGAAGATTCATCATTAGTGTTTTGTTGATTTCTTGTTTCTGTTTTTTTTTTTTAAATTATCTCTGCTTAATTTGCGTCATTTGATGCAAAACAACGTGATTCATATAATCTATATTGTCATTTTCAAGCACTTTATTTTTATATTTATTGTAGGAGTTGTTGTCCTCAATTTTTCGTTTTCGAATGTGTAACCACTGAAACTTTCACATATTTTTCATATGATAAATATATTAAAATGTTGAGGCTTAGATTGTAATATACTCTAACTATAGCAAAAATTTAGAATATATCTAATCATTTTCTATTCATCTTTCGTTAATATGCAGATTTTATCGTGTATTTTATGTGATTATGTTTTAGTGTTATTCATAATTTTTTAGTTTTTATAATAAAAAAAATCTTTTTTTTTTAATTAAAGATTGGAACATAAATAAGATTTGATTTTGTATATACAAATTATGAGAAAAACATATAAGAAAAAAGTTAAGGTTTACTTTCATTTTTTTCCCTATAATTTGCTTATTCCATAGACAAAAGTCAACGAGTAAGGTCTGTAAAATTTTGGAAACTAAAATCATATTTGATTAGGATAAAATTAAATAGAATATCCTATCACATTACAGTTATCTATCAAAATATCTTATTAAATATAAAATCTAAAAACCACATTACATGGCTAACATGAAGTAATCTTTACCACTAACAACATTACATATTCATGAAAATGAATAGAAAAGCAAGTATTGTTTTTTAGATGTTCAAATATCAATTAGTTATTTTTTAATATTTCAATTTTGTGGGTTACATAGGATCATAATGAATACATCGTATCGAAAAAATGGTTACATTGTTGTATCATTAGGACTAGGGATGGCTACGTTATGGTTCTTCGGAACCTAATCGTATCGAATTAAAAATTACGATATTTTGTTTAATCGAATCGTCTAAAATTTGAATGATAGTTTTTTTAGAAAATCGAATTTAATATAATCGAATTGAATTTTAAAAAATCCGAAAAATCGATTTTTTTTTTAAAAAGATCTAAAATTTTCTTAATAAAAACTAGAATCGAAATGAATTGAAACTAAAATTGAACCGAACTGAATATGATACACTAAATGATTGATATATATTTTTGTAAAACCAAACTCGAACCGAATACCGAATACGAAAACGTCTATGCATCATTGGGACCTCCAAGAGTCGCTTTCTCATATTTAATTTCAATTATTTTGCGTATACATATACAAACTTATTGTATGTATGTAAGCCCACACGTCGACTGACTGTCGGTTCGGTCTCTCTCAACCGACACCAAAACGTACATTCATTTTCCAAATATATATATTTTTTTGTAAACCAAAAAAAGGTTATCATAAAATCTTTTTTCCAATGGACAAAAGTTGGTCCATTTAGATACGCTGTCATCTTTTTGTTTCTTTTAGTTACTGTTTTTTTTTTCTCCTCATATGACAAAAGTAGAGAATTGATTTTCAAGTTGTCCACTGCGACCAATTTTTGTAACATCACAAAAGATGTGAGTTTGAATGTTACTGAATAAATCTTGAATTATTTCTATTTGATCTATAAATTACAGTACTTTTAAATTATTAGTCAGTATATTTCTATCACATAGCAATCTAGTTTAGCCAATTTACTATTATATATTATTAAATTTAATTTGGTTAAACATAGATTTCCAAACAAACAAGAATCCAAATTATAACCTCAGAGATTATAACCGTTGAATTACATTAGAGCATGTAATTTAGTGTTAGAAGTAATACGTTTTTAAAAAAAATTGAAAAAAAAGATTTTATGTTTCTATTGATATAAAAATGAACTATACACGTATTTATACTAACACTAAACTACATACTCTAATAAATTATTATCGAATGATCCAATTTTTTTTTTTCATGTAGACTGTACCTAAGGAAGTAATATATATATAATGAGTGGTCAAGTTTGGGGTAGGAGGTAACTTTATCTTGAGGTTGAGTGTTCGATTCCTAGCTGGTGGGGAGGGAGGTAATTTCTAGATTTATATGATCCATATACAAAGGCTGATCACATGTCGGAGATTTATCTAACCAACGCGCCAGTTAGGATACTCCGTTATCATTATATATATATATATATATATAATGAGATGAACACACACAAAAAAAAAAGATATCGTGGTACCATCTATTTTTTTTTCTTCTAATCCAATCCAAGTTGTAAACATATAATATATTTGGGCCTCGGGGGGAAAAATGGAATCCTATATTAATACATAAAATTCGGAGAATGATTATAACATTGTCATATTAATAGGAATGACAATAAATGAAAAAAAAAATTAACCAAATGTATGTATTAATATTAGTATGTTATAAACTCTACTACATGTACAGCAATAAATAGGAGCACACGTTTTATGTACAAACTTCGATTAAATCAAATTGGCAAAAAGTTTATAAATTAAATATAATACATTGAATTTAAAAACTGAATTCTTTGTCAAAATTTGCCGAATAATATGTTATATATTATTGGTAATTCAATGAGTTAAATACACAATATAGTTCCTTTAAATAAACTTTTCAATTCATGTCCTTGTGACGAAGAATAGATAAATGTAAATCATATAACTAAATATAATAATATCTGAACTCTATACAAACTAAAATCCTCTATAATTTTCAATAAATTTTTATAATTTGTAGAGTAAAAAGTTAAGTGTTAGTGTTTTATAATGTATTATGAATTAAAATTTGAAAGATTCAACAATAACACTTGTTATTGGTTATTGTGAAGTCGGTATCGAGTTCTCACGGCCACTCCGACGCTCGTTCGTGCAAGAAGAA